CCAACCGTGGCGACTTTTAGAGGGACGTAGTGAGATAGCGGAGACCGCAGACAAGTCAGCCAATAGTAGTGACTTTTGAAATTTTGTTTATTTATTTTTTGAGAAATTTAAATTTATGTTTATAGTTTTCAAATTTATAGATTTTTCTCTACTTTATAGAGCTCTCTGGCGACGACTAATATTATTACGATATACAAAACTGTATTTCTAGATTTTTCTAGTGTGCAGAGCTAGAAATCTGTAAAGGTAATATTTTGTAAGAAAAATAAATCTGCCCGGGGATTTTTTTAATTGCTAAATAGAAAACGTGGTAACTCTCGAATAAAATCTTAGTCTCGAGGTTGTAAAAGGCGTGCAGAAATCCTGACATAATTTTTTGCTTTATTGTGATACACATATGTGTTGTATACCTCAACGGCGGATTAAGCGGTAAGCGAACTATGCGGCCGAGAAGGGCCTCGAAGGGCCCCCGAGGTCTTTAAAATGTTACTGAAAAAAAGGCTAAATTTTGCTTTCTCTATGGCTCTTCTTTACGATACATGAGTGTTGCTGATTTAAAAAAAAAAATCAGCTGCAGATCTCGCTATTAAATACAGCAAGATTTAAAAAAGTATGAATTCACAAGTGAAATTGAAAGTTTTAAGTTTGAAGTAACGATTCTTATACAAAATATAGAAACTGCATCTCCGCTTAATATTCTACAGGCTCTCCATGATTTTGGCTTAATTGAGTCTTACCCAAATATCAATGTCGCTCTTCGAATATTTCTAACTCTTCCCGTTTCTATTGCTTCGTGCGAGAGAAGTTTTAGCAAGTTAAAATTAATAAAAAATTTATTAAGATTAACTATCGGGCAGAACGATTGTCCAATATTTCTATAATTTCAATAGAATACATTATCATTAAAAATATTAATTACGATCATGTAATTAATGAATTTGCTGAAATGAAAGCCAGAAAAGTTCAATTAAAATAAATCTTATTAAAAATCTACTGTAATATATTTGTTTTATTATTTTCCCAAACCAAATAAATTAAGGGGCCTAAATGCAAATTCTTGCACAGGGCACAGGAATGGCCAGTTACGGCTCTGTATATGATTACAAATGAATCGCACAATCAAAGAAAAAAAAAACAAAAAACAAAAATAAAAAAAGGTCAACAGGTTGCGCACGATATCCCCGGACGGCGAGTCGATTCGCGGACTATCCGGATGGATGGTAACACTATTGCCGTGCTCATTTCAATCAGTCCGAGTCGTAGGTGGACGAAAATATGAAATAAAATGATTCAAATTCTTACAAGATTTTTGTCGCCCCCTAAAAAGTGCCGCCCGGGGCGGACCGCCCCTGCCGCCCCCTACGCTACGCTACTGCTGGTGGCCCAAAACTCCTTGACTTCTTCCAATGCGGCCCAGAGAAACAAAAAGGTTGGACACTCCTGATCTACACCAACATTTTTAGCTGCGCTGAGGAGATTTATTGCGCGTCGTGGAAAACCAGTTAAAATTATGAGTGACTGTGCCTCCAACTTCAAAAGGGCTAGTAAAGAACTGAAGGAAGTTTATAAAAATGTGTCACTTACAGACAAAAGTAGTGAATTGGCTCATTTCATCACCAGAGAAGGCATAACGTGGATTTTTAATCCACCAGCCGCACCTCATTTTGGAGGAATTTGGGAATCTGCCGTAAAATATATGAAGTTCCATTTGAGGAGGTTATAGGATTTACATTGTTAAATAACGTACGAAGAGTTTGTAACGTTGTTAACACAGGTGGAAGCATGCTTAAACTCTCGCCCCCCTTTGTCCAATGTCAAGTGATCAGGTATTAATTATGACTTGCAGGTATTAATTAATTAACACCATTTTCTAATAGGTGCACCCTTGATTGCTATCCCAGAATCTGACTTGAGTGATATAGCTCTTCCTAGACTTAAACGTTGGACCTAGGGTTTCTCATTTCCGGGTCTTTTGCTTGTCCCGGGATCCCGGGATCGAATAAGTATAATCCCGAAATCCCGGGATTAGAAATAAGGACCGGGATCGAATTCCCTAGTTGTGAGACTTCGCCTTAAACAGAACCCATCGTGTCTGGACTATTGAGTTGCTCTTGAGTATTCTTAGAATGCAGTTTTGGATATTGTCCGGAAGAACTGTAGTTCGTAATATTATACGTAAGCGTGTCACCTGTGTAAGAACCAAGGGATGAACTGCCTCTCAGCTAATGGGTGATTTACCAGCCCCTAGAGTTCAACCCAGTAGGCCATTCACTATTACTGGATTAGATTATACTGATCCGTACTTGTTTAAGTTACTAGGTGGAAGAGGTGTTAGATCTTCAAAGTGCTATGTTGCTATATTTGTATGTTTTTCCACAAAGGCTGTCCACCTTGAGTTGGTTAGTGATCTATCTACACCAGGGGTGTCCATCCCGCGGCCCGCGGGCCGCATGCGGCCCAAGGCAAGTTTCAATGCGGCCCAATAAACGTGTAAACAAAACCGACAAAATGTTTTAATTTTTTTATTATTTATCTATTTCAACGGCATAAACTGAAAAAAGTAGTTTCACAAAGCCGTAAACCTTTATTCGTATTTTATTCTTGAATGGAAAGGAAATATTTTCAAATACTTGGAAATGTGTGAATGAGGAAAGCTTACTAAATAAAGCTGGAGTTGTGACTCAAAGGATTATAGATCCAAATTTGGGAAAAGGAGGGAAAGATGAGAAAAACAAAAGATGTAGTAGTGAGAAACGTTAAATAGATCTTCTGTTGACCCTTAATTTTCCAACCTTTCTCACTATTTTATCCTTTGTCCTTTCTCTCCTTTCCTTGCACTTGGGTCTATAATCCTTTGATTCACAACTCCAGCTTTATTTAGTATTTTTTCCAACGTTGCAAGATTTGGCTACATTGCGCCAAATGTGGCTATTTTTTTTGTTTGACGTAAAAAATATCATTTGGCGCTTTGGCTACTTTTGGGCTACATATTATTTATANGCTATAACGAGCAAAAATTTAAAAAAAACTAATAGGTAGGTTTAAAATTAATAAATACAAATGTATTCTGACAGTGAATGAGTTAATTATGCTTTCTATTTGCAAAATTCCTCAACCTTAACACAAAATAAGAAAAAAAGTGAATTTTTAAGAAATTTGCGGGATTTCCCGGGATAAGAAAAATTCCCCGGGATATTTCCCGGGTTAAAAAAACAACCGGGATCCCGGAATCTCGTTTGAGAAACCCTAGTTGGACCCTAGTACAACAAACAGTCTCACACTTCTGGAGACGGTGGAATGCAGAGTATTTGACAACTCTCCAACAACGTCGTAAGTGACATCGTTCCTTACCAAATTTGGAAATTGGTGACCTCGTGTTACTAAAAAATGAACTACTTCCTCCAAACCAATGGAAAATTCGTCGTGTTATACAGACCCATCCTGGTAGTGATTGTCACGTAAAAGTTGTTACAGTATTCACGTCTACTGGAAAGCACATAGACCAGTTACAAAATTGTGTCCATTACCCAGTAATAATTAATTAATTTTTTAAGATTCGAATAATTGTCGGTTTACTCCAGCTAAAGATGTAATTGATACCTGTCAGGTGTCAAGGCTGGGGTAATGTGTAAACTATTATTTATTTTTGTTATTCGGAAATTTTTTTTCTTTTTGTTTTTATTGTGAGATGAAAGCTTTTTCGCGCGCTTTTCGGTGAGTCGTCTGTCGTCGCCATCTTGTTTAGTGTACCGTATTGCCTGTGTGATTTAAGAGAGTTTAAATCAATAAAGATCGTTTTGTTGTGCAATTGTGATTTCATATACAGTCCATTTTCAACCTAAACAAAGATATACTAAGAGAAAAATAAGGAAAAATGTGAGGATATTCACTATATCTCATGTATTCAGGAATGTTCTTCTCTATTTTAAATAATATAACTTATATTGTCACTCTGGAAGTTAATCAAATATGCGAATAACCATCAGAAGCACCCGGGATGTACCGTACTTGGAGTGCTTTGGATGGTTATTGATGTTACTGTAAATTTGGATGCTTAAAACTCTGATGTAATTTCATCGTATTTTTAAAAAGATCGGTTTGACTCGGGATATTAGCCATTTATATATATACTGTGTAGAGCATTCAAATCGCAAATTCGCCATATTTAATCCAGTTTTTATTCAATTCACGGTGTGCGCTACATTGCGTTACTTTATATTAATATTCCGTTAATAAAATACATAATTCCGTTATAATTAATATTCCGTTATAATATACAAAATTCCGTTTTGTATAAAATTTAATTTATAAGAAAATAAACAGCTCCTATTTTATAAGTTTAGAAAAAGTTCTAAAATAAGAACTGTAAATGTTATATAAATACAAGGACTAAATATGGTGGCGGCGTATTTAAATGCACCATTCTATACAAGTACCTTCAGTTGATGTGAAGCAATAAACTTATATTGTGTATTGATAATTAAGATATAGAGATTGAAAAAAACTAGAAAAATAGCTTTTTAGAAATGAAACAATGCCAATTTCATTAAAAATATCAATAATAGTTTTTCTTAGAAGACTGTTTTGTGCATGATTGTATCAATAATTTGACTTCTGAGGCTTTGTGCACGATTGTAATTTGACTTCGACTCGTTTATAATTAATGGATCCGAATTTTAGAAAAATTTACAATAATAATTTTTAAGATAATTTAATTAAAACCATGATTAATTCTTTATAATTAATGGCATTTTGAAATATTACTTCATGATTTTAGACGTTGTCCGTTAGAGAGCGCTAGATTTACAAGTATGGCGTCGTCCCTTTGATTCATGTGACATCAGCTGATTCGGCGAGTAAAGAGTTCATGCGCTTGATTCTAAGTCGTTCGTTCTTATTTTATGCTTTGTTTTTTTTAGTAGAAATCGGAAATAATGGATTATCCGGACGATTCTATAAAAACTTACATGAAACAAATTATTGATTATTATGAATCTATAAGAGGTACGATATATGATCGATTTCCTTGTGACACGTGCTTTTTACGTCTTAATTTAGAATTAAATTTTAATTAAATTTAAAAAGATGTGATGATACTGATCAAATTTCGCTATTAGCGGACGAAAATTTAACGATATTTAGAATTGTCGCGTGGCAGTATGCTGATAACTTCCGGTAGATTCATCTTACCGGAAGTTTTGTATACATTGCCACGTGACAATTTTAAACTGACAAAATCAAAGTAAAATTAAACTGTACACTTAATAATACTGTACATATAAAGTGTCATGCATCATAACTAATAATAAATCAAACCATTAATATACAACAACTCCCAAGTATTTTGGCTTTTTCTTCATATACCTTTACTCTGATATAATATCTCTATTTATGAGAAGAATAACATAATTCTGACAAAATCAAGTAACATTAATTGATTATTCTTAAAATAACTTGAAAGTATTTCAATAACTTAAGAAAATTTATTCAGAAGTATGTTTTGATGATGCATTTATATTATAGATATAATTACTAAATATAGTACTTTTTATTATGGGATATTACAGAAGCTGGAATATTATTCAAGCTTAACTGTTGATACATTAAACAAAAAACATATGTACTTAATTCCCTCTTCTTCTTGTTTTAATTGTTAGGAGTAAGCGTAAGATTGGTTGAGATAACAAATCACACAGGAACATACAATGATGTTACAAGCTTTATTAATAATGGAGGATTTGAAATGTCTAACTTTATTGTGTGTGTGATTTGTTCTCTCAAGCAATCTTATGTTCACTCCTAACTAAGAAAATGCAATTCATTCTAAACTCTTTAATAAATATATCATACAGTGTTAAAACAATGATAGAATATTAAGATAAAAATTATTAACTGTCGAAATTTACAAATTTTATTTTCAGGAAAATCAAAAAAAGCTCTTTCTTATTCATTTTGGGATCTGGTTGTCATCACAACTTCCGATGACGCGCAGAAAAATGCATTCGACATTCAGATTAATCTGAAAATAGAGAGAGGCGAACTACCCGTCGACGTACCGTATCACGTTATAGCCGATCCTCCGGGATTTAAAATCGGTATTTAGTTAACTTTTATTTATTAAATTAAATTTAGTGGTAAGAGAAAAACTATGCTAATTTACTTGGCAACCAAATGCCTTTATTGAATTGCATCTTTTACTATTTTAGTCAGGCTTTTGCTGAGGATGGTCTGACTGTAATGGCCAAAAATGTTTCATTTTAATAAATACATTTGGTTACCAAGAAATTTAGCAGTAACTTATTTTGTAACTAAAATTTTCAGAAATTGAAAAGTAATGTTTAAAAGTTATAGTAATTTGTCTATGTTAATAAAAATTATGCATAATTATTTTAGAGTAACATTTTTGCATTCTTTATCATTAAGGATATTCATGATCTGTAGCTATTCTCAACTGTATTGGTGTTCATGGTTTTCTTAAAGATTCTATGGCAAAATCCAATGGCTTAATGGAGTTTCCTTGGAGCAATATTCAGTAATTATTAAAATTTATTTATAAATTTCTTAAAAATTATGCAGGATCTCATCACATTTTAATATCTTAAAAGATTTTAAAGAACAATAAAAAAATGTTCATTCCATTACAATTAGTTCCATGTTTGAAGTTACAGTGATTTCATCAAATGTGGAACTTTACGTCATGGAATGAACACTTTTTATTGTTCTTTAAAAATTTTTAAGGTATTAAAATTCATCAACAAAGTGACCAGTCCTGCTCTGGGCTGATTCTTTTCTTCTAGAATATTCTAAATTTAATAATTAGAAATAACTTTATTTCTAATTATTAAATTACCATGAGATGACTGCCTAATTGCCTACCACTAGCCAAACTGATTTGTATTTATTTATTTACTAGCCCTAAAAATAGCTTGATGGATAATCTAGATTGTTTAAAGAAATTGTCTATTGTTAAGAGGACATTATTTTGAGTAATTCAAATTTTTCTAAGTGACCACTTGTTTTCAAAAATTAGACTTAGCTCATACTATTTTATCAAAGGACACAAGTTATATTAGTTTTTATAATATATAAGTTTTCAAAAGATTTGCATTTGATAGTTAAACATGATCATTTCAGATATGGATCATCTATAAGTTACATAATGATACACATATTTGAATGAACTTTCAAATTGTCATGTTTTTATTTATAAAATAGTTGCATTCCTTTGAAAATTTGCTGTTTCAGCTGAAGAAGAACCATTTCTGGTTCAAAAATGTTTGTGAAGTATTGTTTTTTTTTTTTTGTTTTTTTCATTTTTTTATTTGAGTTTCACACCGGTAACAGGCTTTGGTAAGTAGATACATAATGATATTTTTGTACTTTTAAACAACCATCTCACCTCTATGATGTTCTGTAACACTGTCACACATACCCACCCATAAGGGTGACCATACATTGGGGAATTTGAGGCAGATGCTCTCCTTTTTTGTCTGGGTTGCTCTTTTCCTAATCCCCGAGAGGGTCCCAAATTCCATGATGAACAAACAACAGAAAGTCATGACTTCTATCCTATTCTGCAAATATAAAAGAAACTAATGAACAATATTTGTCCATTGAGCCATGCATCTCTATTTTTATGTAGTTATTTGTTCATTGTATGTTGACCAAAACCACATTCCTTGTTTTTGAGACCAAGTTAGTCCTTAGTGCAACCAAAACCACTGTTTTAGAGTGTCTTAATTGTGCTAGAAATAATACATAATATAGGATATAGAGCATTACATTATTTTATTAATTAACATACAAATCAGTAGCATAAACAGTACAGTTCACTATTTAACATTTTCAATGCAAAATGAACTATTGTCTTGTGAAGGACTGAGATCCTAGCATTATGTAACATTTTTTGTAAATACTCCTAATCTTTGTGTAACATGTCATAATGATTACATCCATACCCATCCACCCATATCTGTATTATGTAATTTATGGACATATCCATCTAAATGGCTAATTTATTAGAGTAGGTTTAGCTTTGTATTTCAATTGCTGTTACTTTTTTTACACATTACATACAACACAATAATTACATAAATAGCTATTATTATTTGAATGCCAATAATGAATCATTGCCATGTATGTATATTATAGGCTGAAGTCCAGAAGAATTATTTCTTTTGGGCTTTAACCTGCATGAAATTTTAATGTGTTTCTTGATATTATGATCACATTGTATTAAATTACTCTAAATAATTGTTTTGTTTAACAAATTAATTTTCCTTTACAGGTAGTGGAGGCTCAACATTAATCGCTTTACAAAACTTACTAACGATTTATGGTGAGAAACTGTTCACTTTCAAGATCCTGCTCATTCATGCCGGTGGTCGTAGTCAGCGCATTCCGTGCCATAGCATTTTGGGAAAATTATTTGTATCTTTGCCCTTGGGTAATCCAATGTTTCAAATGCTAGATTTAATTCTTGCAATATATTGGCCTTTTACAAAACAAATGGATGCGGGTGTATTTTTGGTCAGTTCAGATGCTTTCATAACATATTATCTAACAGAAGATGGTAAGTCTTAAAGATCTCTTTTATTTTTTTAATACTTAGTGTAATACATTTAAATAGTAAATTAACAAAAACCATTTGAATTCATTTAAAATTTGAAGGAATTTAAATTATTCTGTTCAGATGTATCTGATGTTGGAAGATGAAATTTGTTTCAAAAAGCACTCGTTCTTTGTATTGAGGAGTTCAGTTCAATATTTTTAATTTAAGACCAAACAGAGTTGAAGAGAAAAGTCTCATTAAATTAAGTGATTCCTACACTTCAGCCTGTTATATTTTGATTTTAAAATAAGTTGAGAGTATTAAGGATTGACAACATGGAAGAATATTAGAATTAGAGAGGCCTAGCAACATGGCTTTATTTTGTTTTTCCTGTTGAGCTTTGGACACTTGGTTTTGTGAAGATTGTGGTAATGCCCCTAAATTGGGCTGGAACTTGTCTTTAGTATAAGTGCACATATTTTTTTTTCTACAAAATTAACTAGACAAGATTTGACTGTAACGTAAGCCATGTTGCAAAATATGTACAGTATATAAAAACAATCATCATGTACATAAATACAATAATGTCTGTAATGCTCTTTGGACCTAATAAATTAGTTTGAAGACCATAACAGGATTGAAACAAAAGCATTTCTCCATGAGTGCTTGCAAGCTAAAGAAAGCTTGGGACCATACAGATATTTACAGTTTACTCATTTTTATAGAAGTCATATGATTTAGGATTCCAGCCCTGACCATTATGTTTTATTAATTTGTTCTCGGAAAATACTTTTTATAAAAAGTTAGCACTGTCAACTTCAATTACTCTGTATCTTTTTACAATAACATATTCTTACAAATTCTACAATTTATTTTTAATGCTAGTATGAGTGATATGATCTATATATTGATTCAAAGATTGTTTTAATTTGTCTGACTTCATTTGAATAAATGGCTAGGGCTAAAAATACAGTTTAAGTATCAAATTAAAGATCTTATTCTGTAGATGATGCCACCGAAGAGAGATTTGGGAAAGTTACAATGGTTTAATATGGTAAAGTGGCAAATGTACAATGTTAAGTCTATGGTACAAACAAGTTGGGGTCCCATAACTTTAGGAGTCCCTGTTAACCTTAGGATTCTCCTCACTAACAGTGAGGAGTCTCTGTTAACTTTAAGACAATTTTTTGTGTTTTGTGGTTTCATTATTGTAAATACTGAGGTCAGTAAATATACATTTTAGTTACTAAAGCCTTTGTTTTTATCATCTTCTCCCAACTTAACCTCACCAATATCTAATCCATTTAAATGCCTGATCAATTCCAGGTTCATGCAGCTAGTTAATTATTAATTCATAGCTAAAACAAAAAATATTTAATGGGTTAAAGTTAAAAAAATTCTTACATTTTTTGAAATAATTTCACAGCATTATCACTTTCTATATTGAATTATTGAATTGTTTGTTTTTCAAGCATGTATGTTCTTTAACATGAAATAATTCACTTAATTTTTTTTAAATAAACAACAAAGATTAGTGAGTATTTTAAATTAAATATTAATTTTGTTATGGCAATGACTGTGATTTTTGACTATTGATGCTGAACAAAAAAATAAAATAAGGTGAGTGGATAAAATACCTGACGAACGGGACTTTCTTTATGTATCTAACATCTAAATAAGGGTCAGTTTCCCTAGAAAATCCTCCAGGAGACACACTATTGGTAGATTGCCCAGGTGTTGCATTGTCAATCTATCAATTTGATAAAAAAAAATAAAAAGTAAACTCACATAGAAATCGAGAGCCACAAAAATTTTTATATTCACAACTAACGTGATTGTAAAGGTTCCATCTCAATAATTTTCTGTCCCAGTGTTTATGGTCACAATAATTTCCAAAAAATAACTTATTTTTTATTATATACATGTGAATAATTTGCATGAACACAGCTAGTAAAGTTTATTGCAGATGTTCTTTCTAGTGATAGATAATTACAAATGATTTTAGTATTTTGTGTTCACTTTTCCAAAGTAATTGAGATTTAGTAAGTTTGAATTATGAATCTCAAAAGCAAGTAAAAAAAACATTTGTGTATCTGAATATTTAATTAAATATTTGATTAAATATCTTTTATTTTTAGATGATTTGTCTTGGACCTTTAAAGATTCAGATTTCACTGCTTTAGCACATCCGTCATCTATTGAAATAGGAACAAAACATGGCGTTTACGTACTTCCATCTTTATCTTCGGAACTCTTACAGAAATCGTGTTTCATGATTCAGTGTCTCGAAATTTTACAGAAACCGTCTGCTGAAACTATGAGAGATAAAGAAGCTATTGCCAGAACAAACATAAATGGTAATTTATATTTTATTACTTAAGCTTTAATAAAATCTTAATATGATGATGATCAAATGAGAAGTAGACTTGGTGACAGTATGATGCATTATTCTAGTATTGTGCCTTTATATTAGCCATGGAAGGCCAGGCACATGCGTTTTAGGAGTTTTAATTTCTTCTACTTCAGAAGCATTAAAAAATTAAACAGTTAATTGTATATAGTTATATTTTTTCTATACTTGTTCAATTCTTCCTTACCTACTGTTTATGTTAATTAATCTATGTATCTATATTGTAAAAATTATGAAAATATAATGTGTTATTTTTAAAGCTGATCTGTTAAAGGAATCCTGTACACAGATCTGCAGCCATGTTGTTACTGCTCTGTTGTATGTAATCAGAAAACTTAAATCTTTAATATTTACAGACTCAAAATTTAACATTTGAAACTCCTTGATAGTGTCTATATTTGCAAATAAAATTTTTGTTTGATCACCCTGTAATATTCCAAGAATGCTATCAGTGTTTAATATTAGTAGTTATAAAAATTAAAAATACTTTATTTTTTATCAGTCATTTGTTTTCTCAAAATGTTACTGATATAAACGTTGGATTAATGGTCTACGGCGGTGGTCTATCGTGGATATGATTTGGTCTGTATTTCACTGGAATAAACTTTTACACTCAACTTATAAATAAGAGAATTAAAAATCTAAGAAATAAGAATTTATTCTGACAATATTAATGTTTTCTTGAGTTTAAACTAAAGAATAAATTTTAATGACAATAATACAGAAATATAACCTGAAATACGTAAATTGAATCCTATTATTTGACTGCAGATCTGCCTTTGGAAATTTGAAGTTTATTTAGATTAATTGGAGACTGTTGAAATTTAAATAAATTTTTTGTGAAATAATGGGGAAAAAATTACTTGAAAAACGCGACAATGGTTAATATGCCTCACTTGATATCAAAATCTGAGGCAAATCCAAGATTTAGAGGATATAGCTGTTTCTTCTATGTTAAAATAAAGAAAAAGTGTTGAAAAATTATACATTTAGGTTAATATATTTATATATTTTGAAATTATTTACATACAATGTTTTTATTACTCATAGTGTTCCTAATTTTTCAGGTACATCAGAAGAAATTGTATATAGTGATAGTGTTTTTTACTTCAGTAGTAAAATTATGAGAAAATTTGTTGATTACATACAGTCTACTCATATTGTAACTTGTGAATTAGATGCTTACGGAGACTTTTTACAAGGACTGGGACCAAACAGCTCTTCGTCGTATATTTATGATACAAAAAATGTAGTCGAAATTTCTGATAATCTCATTCAGACAAGAGAAAACTTGCATCATTTATTGCAGGGGAGTTCGATTAATGTTATCGTGCTACAGAAATCCAAATTTTACCATTTAGGAACAATTGGAGAATACATAGAAAATTTATGTACTAATAAAATATTAGCAGAAGAAATGAATTTCCAGAAATGGATATTTAGTGTGACTACAAAGAGTGGTTTAAAATTGTCCTCCTCTGGAGGAACTGTAATGCATTCTTGCATCCATCCTAATTCCGTCGTCGACGAAACCACCGTCTTAGAATACTGTGATTTCCCTTTACTTTTAAAAGTAAATGAAAAGTGCATTGTGAGTGGATGTCTTGGATATGGAGAAAAATTAAATGAAGTTCCCATTCAAATTCCCAGCTGTTCCTTAATTCATACCGTGTCCGTTCGAGTGGACGGAACCGTCGGCTATATCACGATTGCATTTCATTTTGATGACGATCTAAAATCTAACTATCCTTTTCAAAGTATCACGAGCATAAAGTATTTTGGAAAGTTTCTCGGACACATTCAGCCAATGTTGTTTGGGTGCGAGAAATATTCAGACCTCTTCAGCGGCAATACGAAAGTATATAGTCTGTGGACGGCAAAGTTGTTTCAGATGCAATTAACAATGGAAGACTCTCTGAAAGTTACATTAAAAATGTTACAGAATGTTCTGAGTGAGAGCAATACCTTCGAGGTATACAGTAATTCTATATTTCCTTATTTATCGATGGAAGATATTCTGAAGTACAAAAATGTCGAGAAAACTATAGAATATAGAAATAAATTGTGGGAAAAAATTGTTAAATACCAAAGCTGAAATCAGGTTTCTGCTAAAGATGTAAGTATTTTCTTTGTATTTTATTATATACTATTTATAAAAATTCAAAAAATCCTGTTTTTCTTTGTGATTGTGCAATTAAAAAAGAATTTGAAAAGGAAATTTCAAGATGTTGGAGATAACAGGTCAATGCCACTGAACATAGTGTATTCTTGCTAATCTGAATCAGTTTTATTCATTTTTCCACTAAATATTTCAGCTGAAAACAAAAGTTAATCATAAATAATTTTTTGAAACATGATAAACTTATAAAATTAATATATA